CTTCTCTCTCCTCTCCTCTCTCTCTCTCTCTCTCTCTCTCTCTCTCTCTCCCTCTACTCTTGCTTCCATCCTCATAGCTTGCGTGCACGCTGTCCCCACTAGTGACAAGATCGTGCATTCGCCTCAGGCGCCCTGCACTTCTGGATTGCATTGCACGCAGCGACATTCCGCGAGTCTGAAAAAATAGATGCCTTTAGGAGGCAGAATGACGATGATAAACATGAATTTCGATATTTCGAAATTATTTACAAAATAAAAAGAAAGTTATTGGATGTTCCGATGAAAGATTTTATTATCTATGAAATGTTTAGAAAACATTTGCAAAATATTACAGTTTTTTTTATCATCGACTGTATCATAGTTTTTTTTCTTTCTCTACAACTTTTGCAACTTTTTAACATGGATATATAAAACATTTTACAATGTACAATGTAACATTTTAAGATGTTTTAGTACAAGTTAGATTTTTATAATACATAATATATATTTCCACAGCATAAAAAACAAAATGTTTTACAATTTTTGTTACATAAAAAATCTTTGAAGGGAAAACGAATCTTTAAGTAATTGGTTATTACAGTTGAAGAATAATAATTTTAGATAATTTTTTCTAGGAGCGAATCGCATACTGTAGATTAACTGATTTATTTTCAACACAAATACGAGATATCTTACACTATTTAAATTTTAAGTTAATTCTTTTTAAATCAGAACTTAGAATTTGAACCGAAATCTTGGTTGCGACAATCCTGTCGGGTCTGGCGAGGCCCGCCTTTTTATGCCAGATAAGAAAGAAGAGGCTTGAGGCCGCCGAGAAGCGAGAGAGATGCCATGAAAAATATACGATGGAGGAAGCGACTGAAATGAGAGGAGAAGATGAAGATGGAGAAGAAGAAGAAGAAGTAGAAGAAGAAGAAGAGAAGGAGGAAGAGGACGAAGAGGGAGTACAGGATGGAGCCAGTTTGTGCTCCATCCTGTTGAAGAGAGGAAGGAATCTGTGTGCGCGAGGTGTGCGACAGTGGGGGTAAAAAGGGGTATCGGAGGAGGGATAGGAGAGATATCGAAGAGAGGTGGTAGTCAGGACTGGCCGGACGATGCAAGAAGCGAAGAAAGAGAAGGCAAAAAGAGGAAAAAAGGTGGGATCCCTTAAAAATTGAGACCCACGGAGGTGGGGATCGGAATTTCGGGCCCCGTACACCGGCCAGTCTCGAAGAGGCTTTCGCGAAGATGAGGCGAGGAGAAAAGAGGAGATAGGAGAGCGTACGAGAGCGCAGGAGGGCACGAGACGAGGGATCGAGAGGAGGAAGTGAAGAAGCGGAGAAACGGAGAGGAGGCGGAAAGAAAAGAAGAGAGAGAGAGAAAGAGAAATCGGTGGAAGAGGAATAGGAAGAAGACAGGAAGAAGAGGAAAAAGCGGAGGTGGTGAAGAAGGAGGAGGAGGAAGAAAAGGAAGAAAGGTATCACGTAGCCACAGAGAGTGTGCACAGTCCATCGTGTACTCGGCATGGACCGTCAGTACACCCTCTGCGTACTCGTACCAGCATACCAGTACCGTAACTACGTGGACAATTACCATCATCATCAGCAACAACAACAGCAGCAGCAGCAGCAGCAGCAGGCGCAGGAACAGGAGCAGGAGCAGCATCGCAGGAATTTGCAACCTCCGACATATCTTCAATATCAGCAGCAACGCTTAACGCAGCAACTGCAGCGACAGCAGCAGCAGCAGCAGCAACAACAAGAAAAGATCTATGAAAACGTAGTGTCGCAGTATCGTATGAGGATGTGCTATCACAATGATTACGAGAACGATGAGCAGATACAGAGATTCTACTGGGAGCAATGCTACAAACGCACCGATGCCGACGCTACGGGATATTACTATTGCGAATATGTAAGGACCCCTGACTTGCGGCTACCCATAAGCATAAGAAATATATATTATTGGAAGTTACATATTACACTCGTTATCTTCCTCGGGCATCTTCTCCTTCCCAGGAGGATGAAAGTGTGAAATACAAATTGTGTCTTTCAGTGCTTCTCTTCGCAACGTGAAATTATATTTGTCTTTTAGAAGGTGTTTCGTAAAATTCCCATTACCGAGGAAGCGTTAAAGTTGTATTTCTACATGCGAACCGTGATTGCAGTCCGTCTGTTGCAGCGAATACGAGCAGCCAGGATCTCTTTTAAAGTGAAATCGATGTATACCGTGATGCATTTTTTCGCACGAGAGCTTGTGTGGTTCTTCTGGAATTGTTGGAAATACAGTGATATCGCACAAATGGAATAATCGTAAAATAGACAAGGAATATTTAATTACGCTTTTGATATCAAAGCATTTTATTGAACACAGCATATATATATTGGCACATAATATTACATTACGTTCGTATGATTAAAATAAATATTACTGATACAAATTATTCTAATTATTCGTGAAAATATTATACAGAGGCAAAGACTTCTTTCTTCAATAATTATATAAAAAGGTCTAGAAAGGCCTTTTCTTATTTTGAAGAAATATATTCGTTTCCTTGAATTTTGCGGAGAATCTTGTGTAATCTTCATCTCGCATCTTCTTCGCACATATTTCTTCGTATATCTTCCTTTATATACATAAGTTTAACATCTGACATTCTAGCGCGCGCAATTTGCACGTGATCGCTAAATAAATAATTGAAAATTAGACAACTCGGCAACGATGCTATTTACGGAAGCGCAATCATCTGAATTCTTGAAATTTAAATAATCGCCGTTTAAAAGTTGTACAACTATGACGAATTATCCCAGCGTATTCATCATCTTCCTAACGCTCTTTAATTAACTTGTCTCACAAGTCACGAGAAATGACGCTTACACGGTTCGATGAAAAAACGAGTGTTATATAATATGGATATGAGAATATTAATCGGTGACATTTTTAAAAAGATTATCAAATTCTTGTGTTGTAGGCGAAAAAGGAGATCTATGACGTAAAACATCAAAGGCTCTGCCTGGCTCAAGATGAATACAATCATCTCAATAACGCCTTGACTACCCTTGGTGCCTCTCGTACGAGTTGTGAGTGTTGTTTAACAGAAAGTAAATCTTGTTTATATATAATTTCGATTTGTTATAATAAAAATAGATTTTAATTGTTTTTTTTTTTTCTCTTTAATTCGTTAGTAACCTGGATACACTGTATGCGTTATTTATAAAAGTTTTGTCGATCATGTTATAAAAATACGTTCCGTCGTTGAAACAAGTTTGCAGAACATAGCTGTAAATTAAGGAATCCTGTCTTTAAATTTTGAATTTTATACCCAGTTAAATGTCCAATTTACATAAATTGTAACGCGAGTGTATAGGCAAAACGAGTTCTCTGTCGTTGTTGGAAAATATTAACGGGCATTTGTGGCTCACACAGTGTGTTCCAGCTCGAGTTCCTTGAGTACTAAATACGACCCTGACCTGCTTAAATCCGATGTGGCACTCGCAAGGGACCGAGTTTTCCG